TCCCGCTCACACACTCACTCGCGCACTCTCTCTCTCTCTCTCACACTCACACACACACACACACACACACACACACACACACACACACACACACACACACACACACACACACACACACACACATACTCTCTCTCAGGTGGAGAAACTCAGAGATGACATTCGCTATAAAGTCACCAGTCTGAGCATATGCCAGGGCTGAGGACCACAACACACGAGAAACGTTCATGTGCAACCAATAAAGTGTCTGAATGAAGTTTATTGTGAGCGTGCGTTTATATTTACAGTGGAATACTAGTATACTACACAGTGTGCACTGCAGACTGCTTACTAACAGAAGTATGCAGTGTGCATCAATGTTAAGTAAAACTGTTGAAAAAGGGTTTGATTAATTAAAATGACTAAAACTGAAGTAAAAATTAAATTCAAAACTAATAAAAATGACAAAAGAACATAGCAAAATTACTAAAAACTAAAATTACAATGAAAATATAAAAAGCTATTTTTGTCAAATTAAATGTTGAAAAGTTTAAGTACTAAAAAAGAGTGTGCTCTTGTATACTGCACTTTTAGAGCAATTTTGTAGGTATTTGGGTATTTTGTGTACAAAAACTTCAGCATACTGGAGATGACATAGTATGAGTAGTATACTAGCATGCAATCCCCAACTTTTGAAGGTAAAATTACATGAACATGGCATTAAAACACACATGAATTCTCCAGGATATTACACTGGTGTATAAATAACTTTATTTTATGTATTTTAATACAGACATACAGCAGCGTGTTTATGGAGTACAGCAGGGCTCTGTGCTGATACCGACTTAATAAGCCCCTAAACAACACATAAAATCATCTTATATGCATTTATAAGACATAAATATAGCGAATACAACAGCGAGCATGAGTTTGAAATACGAAAATAAGATTTAAACACATTTCTTAGATTAAAAACACTCAAACCTGCCGCCACTCACAGTAGAACAGTGGCACACGTGATCTGCCCTTCCCATGATGCACCGGCATCGGCCCAAATACGACTATCGTACATGAATATACGGAAAATAATACAGCCGTGTCCTGAATTCCTGAGAGAAATGACATTCTCAATCTGCTTGAAATGACAGAAATGACACTTTCGCTAGTGAGAGATGAAGATTTGAGCCGCAGACATGTGTGCGATTGGCACTCGTGTGGATCCGACGCGCGACCGATCCCGTGAAAAACACACTTGATCATCCTACGAGTGCAGGATCTGAGAGAGACAGAAGACGAGATGTCACACACCTTTACTGTCACGGGACGCTCAAAGCGGCGGCCTGAGCCCTACTCACTTCATTTGACTGACAGCTGTCAATCATCCCATCACATCACAGAGCAAACCCCGGTCTGCAGCGACTGGCCCCGCTCATCTGTGCAACGTGTCACTCTGTCTGATCTGAAACATAGAGAAAAAATCATTTTACAGTTAAATTAACTTCAGCCAATTACATTAAAAAAATGTTTAATGTATCAAGCCAAATAACAGTGCAATTTTAGTTTCAAAAGCATTTTTAAATAAATCTTTATATAATACAAATCTATATATAAAATACAAATATTTTCAAGTCATTAAACACAATAAACTGCAATATAGTTTAAAATATCAATATTTATAAGCCGTTTTTTTTGTTTCATATATATATATTAGTGCTATCAAACGATTAATCGCGAATAATCGCATCCAAAATAAAGGTTTTTGTTTACAAAATGTGTGTACTGTGTATATTTATTATGTATATATAAATTCACACACATACAGCACATATTTTGAAAATATTTACATGTATAAACATTCATATATTTATATTATTATATTTTATATTATATATAAATATATTTAATATATAAACATAACATATTTTTCTTAAATATATACATGAATGTGTTTGTATTTTATAATATTTATATATGTTTGTATATTGAAATATTTATATATAATATATTTATATTCAAAGGCAGCATCATATTGATTCTTCATGGACAATGTTATCCCAGAATGCATTGCTACCGGTTCTTTGAAATGCCCCAAAATGTATAACTGACTCAATTAAAAAGATCTCAATTACAAATATACGATATTAAAAACTGAAATGTATTGATAGTCTCATATAATTAAAAGTCAAAGACGGCAGGTTAGTACCTGTTGGCGGCGCAGGGCAGGTCGGACTCGGAGCAGTACACATGTTGCCCCGTCTCACAGATGACCAGCGCGTGCATCGGCTCACTGTTGCAGGCCTTTAGTGGGCCCCGGCCCCTGCTGACATCAGCTTGAGGCGACAGGGTCATGTGACTGCACGAAGGGTTCCCATTGGTGTCCAGCTTATCCGGGGGCGGGCCGGGGGACGAGACGTCCAGCACCTGGATCAGCGGGGCCGGGGCCGGGGCCGGGGCCGGGGCCGGAGGGTCAGCGTGGGACAGCTGCAGCCGCCGCATGCGACTGACCACCACCGTCGCATTAATGACTCGCTGAAACACACGCACCGTCAATAATTCATACTGCCACACAGGATGAGAGAATAGATGATCTGCCCTCTCTCACCTTCCACTTGGATTTGGCAAAGGTTTTCTGCATCTGCTCACCGACGGACTGAATGATGTTGTCATTGTGCGCCGTGTCTCCAATGATCCTGCACAGACAGACCCGCGACTTCATTCATTCATCAACCAGCATGTTGATTCAGAATTACTTATCAACCTGCATGATTTTATGCATTAGTTTATGAAAAACTTTGTTGATTTATCATGCCATGTTTTTTCATGAATCAATGTTTAGAAAGTTATTTATGAATCTGAATGCATATTTATGTATTAGTTTATTCATGCACAAGTATGTTGAGTCATCATGGCTTATGTTTATACATAAATCATGTTTATTCATGTAAAACAGTTCTGAGATTCTCTGAGATGTGGCTTCGTGTTTCTCACCACGCATGACTGAGCGCTTGTTCAGTGGTGAAGCGTTTATTAGGGTTTTTCTCCAGCATGTGCCTGATGAAGTCCTTCGCTGCAGAAATCAAAAGTAAAGAGAGTTTAATCACAATTATTCACAGGGAAAAATAAATCTATGCCTGAATAATCTCTACAGGAGTTGATGTTGTAATGCAGCTGATGGCCTCCAGGTGGCAGTAACGTCTCTTCATGTTTATGAGACTTCTGCGTCTGTAAAGTGTCTGTGACGCACCTGACTCAGAGATTTCGTCCCAGTACGGCGAGTGGAAGGCGTATTCTGCCTTCATGATTTTGGAGAACAGGCGCGTTTCGTTCTCCTCATAAAACGGCGGGTAGCCGCTCAACCTAAACAAACACATAAGAGATTGATTGAAGGAAAAACACAACTGACTGGCTCTCAGAAGAGTCTACATGAGCGCAGACTCACAAGATGTAGGTTATGACGCCGATAGACCAGCAGTCCACAGCTTTACTGTACGGTTTCTGAGCCAGAACCTCCGGAGCTGAGGAGAAACACCACAATCATGGACATTATAAGCAATTTAATGAAAATGTAATTGAAATATGACTGTGTAAAGCCGTTCATACCAACATATCCTGGTGTTCCGCAGGCTGTGGACATCACGCCGTGATCAGCCATCTTGGACAGACCGAAGTCGCTGATCATGATCTTGGCGTTCTCTTCCGAACTGTAGTACAGCAGGTTCTCAGGCTACAGACGGACAAAACCACGGCGGTTAATGACATCGCATTAAAAAACTGAATTGCTAGAAGATCGTCCGCTCTCACCTTCAGGTCTCTGTGGACGATGCTGTTCTGATGCAGGTAGGACACGGCCTCCAGGACCTGTTTGATCACACGGCTGGCGTCTTTCTCCGTGTAAACACCTCGATCCAGAATACGGTCGAAGAGCTCTCCGCCCGACACCCTTCACCCAAAAACATATTAAAATGACGCTAAAAAAGATGTGTGATTGTGTTTGTGTGTATATTTCAGGCTTTATCAAACACGTACAGCTCCATGACCAGGTAATAGTGTGTTCTCGTTTCGTAGAAATCCTCCAGTCCCACCACATTATCATGCTTTATCCTGAAAGACAGAGAGAGAGAGACTTTTAGGGGTTGTTGTCTGTGGTGTTTTAAGTGGAGTCGAGGGTATTTGCATTAATGGTCTGTAGCCTTTATGGTCTGTGGTGTTTGCATCAATGTTTTTATGTCAGTGGTCTTTTGTGGTAGTAGTCTGTGACTGTGATCATGTCTGTTTTGTTTTTAGTGGTGTTTATGTTTACAGTCTGTAGCGTGTTAGCGGTCTTTGGTGTTTATGGTCTGTAGTGCAGGTGATATTGGTCAGTGGTGTTTATGCTCATGTTTTTGTCGTGTTTGTGGTCTGTAGTATCTGTGATGATTATATTTGTGATCTGGGTGTATTTTAGTGGTCTGTGATGTTTATGGTCTGTAGTGCTGGTGATATTGGTCTGTGGTCTTTATGTTAATAGTCTGTGTTGTTTATGGTCTGTAGTGTTGGTGATATTGGTCTGTAGTCTTTATGTTCATGTTTTTGTCATGTATTTAGTGGTCTGTAGTATTTATATTAGTGGTCTATGATATTTGTAGTGTTAGTGATACTGGTCTGTGGTCTTTATGCTCATGCTTTTGTCGTGTTTGTGGTCTGTAGTATCTGTGATGATTATATATGTGATCTGGGTGTATTTTAGTGGTCTGTGATGTTTATGGTCTGTAGTGTTGGTGATATTGGTCTGTAGTGTTTATGTTAAAGGTCTGTGATACTTATAATTGTGATCTGACTGTTTACTTTAGTGGTCTGTGGTGTTTGTGTAAGTGGTCTGTAATCTTTATGGTCTGTAGTGCTGGTGATATTGGTCTGTGGTCTTTATGTTAATGGTCTGTGTTGTTTATGGTCTGTGCTTTCTGTGACAATGACCTGATTATGTTTGTGATTTGAGTGTTTATTTTAAAGGTCTGTGGTGGTCTGTAGTGTCAGTGATACTGGTGTCTAGTTTTTTCTTGTACCTCTTCAGCACTTTGATCTCGTTCTCGAGGTTCGAGTGGTGCAGCTGTTTTTTCTTCACACATTTCAGGGCGTAGAAATTCCCGGTCTTTCTCTCTCTCACCAGGTAGACCTCGGAAAACGAGCCCCTGCAGAAAGAGTTAAAAGGATATGAACATTTTAACCCCATAAACAGCAACAGAATCTTTTCTGCAGTATGTGAAGCTCCAAATGTTGGACTCCCAGTGAGCTTTAAGTTCAGTGCATGGAGATCAGCACTAATCCATCAGCACAAGGCCGTGTTGTGTGTGTCCAGCCTGTTCCAGTGAAGACTTGAACCCACCCTGTCTATCTTGAGTCCACCTCTCCCATGAATAACTGTCCTAGGAGGAGGATTACAGTGCGTTATATAAGAGACCCAGTGCCGCCCCTCATGACTGATTACTTTAATCCAGAACACCCTAGCAACCACCCAGAACTCTGCAACGGCTTAGCAACCTGTTCTCACCATGCTTGGCACATTCTCAAACCATCTATGTGTGAAAGCAAACTCCTACAGCAGAGATTATTACATTAGCCACCGTTTGACCATTGCCAATTGATGAGAGGGTGATTATTTAAAGTCAGTCAGACCTTGCCAACTCTCCAAACGTGCTGTAATCAACATAAATGTGTTCAGAATCCAACTAAGGCACTCATTCTAGAAGTTATGAAAAATCGATCCATAATTTACAGCAATCAGTCTATAACCTTAACACAATTAGCAAAGACTCGTAAGATTTAGTTCTCTTTTGGAGGCAAATATGTCCCTGTGGTGTAGCTTATAAACCCACTTACATTCACCTCTCAGTAATCCTTTAATTGACCGGTGTCAGGATGTTCTCTGATGTCGGTCTCAATCACCCGCAGATGAAGATTAACAGGTGTCGAGAGAGAGAGAGAGAGACGCACTAACGCTGACACGGTCAACAAACTTCTGACAAACATCTCTGAATATCAACTTACTGATAATTCAAAACACTTCATGACTCATAATGTCAAATAATATCTCATAAAGCTGTATAACGCTTCATAATGCCTCAAAGTTTCACCCATTAATTCATCTCTATTCCTCAGTATGCCTTGCATAGATTTGTAACACTTTATACTTCCATCATAATACTCCAGATTATTTTAGCACCTCATAATACTTCAAAACTTCTTATAACACTCCATACAACTTCATTTGAGTCTATGGTGCCTCATAATGTTTCACGCCATTTCATAATGCTCCATAAAGTTTCATAACACTTTGTAATGCTTCATAACAACTTATTATGCTTTATAAAGTTTCATAACACTTTGTATTGCCTCATAGTGGCTCAGTATGCTTGTCGAAGCTTCCTAACTTCTTATAGTGCCCCATAAAGCATCATAACCCTTCATAAAGTGACATTTGACAAAGTGACATTATATTGCCTCTTGAAGCTTCATAGCATAGCTTCATTGGACCACTTTATAATGCTTCATTAAGCTTCATAACATTTCACAATTTCTCATTTAATGGTTCAGCAATGCATTAAAATGCTTCTTAAAAACACTTTTTAGTGCCCCATATTTCATAAAGCTTCATAACACATCATAATGCTACATAGCCCTTGATAAAGTGCCATAAGGTCTTACAGTGCTTCTTGAAGCTTTATAACATTTCAGAACAGTTTGGTTCATAAAGCTTCATAAACTTCACAGCACTGCTTCATAATGGTTCATTATGCCTTACAAATCTTCCTTACACCTTATAGAGCTCCATAAAGCTTCATACAATGCTTCCCCCCCAAAAATATCCATTTAAAGCATAATGCATCATAATAGTTCAGTACAGCCTTACAAAGCTTCCTAACTTCTTACAGTGCCCCATACTGCTTCACAACTTCTCTTAATGCTTCACTACCCTTCATAAAGTGCCATAAGAGCTTACTCTATGTCGACTCTTAAAACCTCATAGCATTTTATAATGCTTTATAACACTTCACAAAGCTTCCTAATACCTTAAAGTGTTCCATAAAGATTTATAACATCTCATAATGCTTCATAAAGTTGCATAACACTATTACAGTGCCTCATTTAATGGTTCAGTAATGCCTTACAAAGCATCATAATACAATGTAGTGCTCTATAAAGCTTCATTTAATTTCCTTAAGCTTCATAGTACCTCATAATGTTTAATAACCCTTCATAAAGTGTCATAAGAGCTTACTGTATGTCGACTCTTAAAACTTCATAAAACTGTATAATGCTTTATAACACTTCACAACGCTTCCAAATACCTTAAAGTGTTCCATAAAGCTTTATAACATCTCATAATGCTTCATAAAGTTGCATAACACTATTACAGTGCCTCATTTAATGGTTCAGTAATGCCTTACAAAGCATCATAATACAATGTAGTGCTCCATAAAGCTTCATTAAATTTCATTAAGCTTCATAGTACCTCATAATGTTTAATAACCCTTCATAAAGTGTCATAAGAGCTTACTGTATGTCGACTCTTAAAACTTCATAAAACTGTATAATGCTTTATAACACTTCACAACGCTTCCAAATACCTTAAAGTGTTCCATAAAGCTTTATAACATCTCATAATGCTTCATAAAGTTGCATAACACTATTACAGTGCCTCATTTAATGGTTCAGTAATGCCTTACAAAGCATCATAATACAATGTAGTGCTCCATAAAGCTTCATTAAATTTCATTAAGCTTCATAGTACCTCATAATGTTTAATAACCCTTCATAAAGTGTCATTAGAGATAAAAGTGCCTCTTAAAGCATCATAACATTTCAAAGCGCTTATAATGCTTCATAACTCATAATGCTCCATAAAACTTAATTACTTCTCATAATGCTTCATACTGTAACACTTCACAATGCCTCTTACCGGCTCACTTTACAATGCTTCATAACACCTTTCAGTTCCCTTGCCTTATTACAATTTATTAAGCTTCATAACACCTTACAACGCTTCATAACCCTTCATAAACTGTCGTAAGAGATAATAGTCCCTCTCACAGCTTCATAGCTATTCAAAATGCTTTGTAATGCTTCATTAGATTTCAGAACACTTTGTATCATGCTTCATGAAGCTTCATAACACCTCACAATGCCCTATAATATTCTGTCTCACTGCAAAACGGTTCCTGCCGGTATTTCTCAATCGGAGCAAGAGGATGAAGGGCTTCATTGATAAAGATGTCCCCTGGCCCTCAATCCCTTAATCTGTGTCTCAGGCTCAGATTAGCACTGCTGTTGAACGCATGTGTCTCCTCTGAGAGCTAAAGCTGCTGATCCTGTAATAGCGCTCAAGCTGGCAAAAACACCTTCAGGAGCGCTGCACTGATTTCTGACTCAGCAAACAATATGTACTCCGAAAATCACAGTGTTCGATACTTACGACCCCAGAACTTCCTTGAAGTCGAAAATGTCCTTGATGTTGTTGGTGATTTTCTTCCAGCTGCAGTTGATCTCCTTCCGACCCATCACGGCTGGAGTTTCACAAGCTGACTCCTGCAGCAGACACATGTTAATTCCCCATGATGACACTTACATAAACATCACATGTGTGTCTGTCCATGCTCGCAATCCTTCAGAAGTGTGACTTTACTCTTATATAAACGTGAATGTCGCACTAATGAGCGTGAGCTTTAATCTCTGACCTTTGACCTCTCTATGCATGTTATTGCATTAACACTCACACTGATATCTGGAGCAAAACCGGCCCAATCACAGACCACCAGAAAAACTAAAAAATGCTTTAGTAATATTTCACGGTAACACTTTACAATAAGGTTCACTTGTTAACATTAGTTAACATGAACTAACAATAAACAATGTTTTTACAGCATTTATTACTCTTAATTCATGTTAATTTCAACATTTAATAATACATTATTAAAATCATTGTATTTTTTTAACGCACTGTGGACTAAAAATGACATTTTCACTACACTGTAAAAAGTGGTAACCTTTTAAACATTTATTTAACCCATAAAAAATGTTGGTATAAATTAAGTTATTTGGGTTGCTGCTGAATAATATTTTTTATTGACTTTTTTTTAGATTTCCTTTTTTTTTTTCAGTGTAACTAACCGTGAAAAGATTAATAAATGCTTTATTTTTGTATTAAATATTGCTGATTGTCAGATGCACTGAAAACAAATGGTATAGAAAGAATTTTCACTTAGAAACTGCTAGTAAATTTCACAATTAATTCCAAAGAAATGGCATGCAACGCATTGAATTAAACATGACATTTAAGTAGAAAAACTAAAACAGTACTTTCTTGTAAAATGTACTCGAATAATCTTTATTTACAGCTTCGAAAATCACAGTGTTCGATACTTACGACCCCAGAACTTCCTTGAAGTCGAAAATGTCCTTGATGTTGTTGGTGATTTTCTTCCAGCTGCAGTTGATCTCCTTCCGACCCATCACGGCTGGAGTTTCACAAGCTGACTCCTGCAGCAGACACATGTTAATTCCCCATGATGACACTTACATAAACATCACATGTGTGTCTGTCCATGCTCGCAATCCTTCAGAAGTGTGACTTTACTCTTATATAAACGTGAATGTCGCACTAATGAGCGTGAGCTTTAATCTCTGACCTTTGACCTCTCTATGCATGTTATTGCATTAACACTCACACTGATATCTGGAGCAAAACCGGCCCAATCACAGACCACCAGAAAAACTAAAAAATGCTTTAGTAATATTTCACGGTAACACTTTACAATAAGGTTCACTTGTTAACATTAGTTAACATGAACTAACAATAAACAATGTTTTTACAGCATTTATTACTCTTAATTCATGTTAATTTCAACATTTAATAATACAATATTAAAATCATTGCATTTTTTAACGCACTGTGGACTAAAAATGACATTTTCACTACACTGTAAAAAGTGGTAACCTTTTAAACATTTATTTAACCCATAAAAAATGTTGGTATAAATTAAGTTATTTGGGTTGCTGCTGAATAATATTTTTTATTGACTTTTTTTAGGTTACCTTTATTTTTTTCAGTGTAACTAACCGTGAAAAGATTAATAAATGCTTTATTTTTGTATTAAATATTGCTGATTGTCAGATGCACTGAAAACAAATGGTATAGAAAGAATTTTCACTTAGAAACTGCTAGTAAATTTCACAATTAATTCCAAAGAAATGGCATGCAACGCATTGAATTAAACATGACATTTAAGTAGAAAAACTAAAACAGTACTTTCTTGTAAAATGTACTCGAATAATCTTTATTTACAGCTTCGAAAAAATATTTTTTTACAGTATAGCTAATGCATTAACTAATGTTAACAAATGAGACCTTACTGTGAAGTGCTACCAATATCACAATCAATAACATTAATAAACATTGCTAGATTATATGATGTTAAACAGATAACTGGTTACAGCACATTTCAATAGTTAAGGATAGTAATAAACTTTAATTCATGTATTTTTATATAGAGCCTATTCAAGACTAACCGGTCTGTTCGGTATTATATCATATTAATGATTATCATTTACATTTATGTGATACATACATAAATGTCTTTCTATTTAACGTTTAAGTGTCAAAATATTCACATCAGGCAACATTTACAGTTGCAACACTGAGTTTAGAATTAAACAGACATGACTGAAACAGTTTAGCGCTCCTAAAATAAGCAAAGCATATTAACCTCTCAGGATCATTAGTTTGCATGAATGTGATGCGTCTTACCCGGAGCGGACCGCAGGTGTGAGACGCACCTGTTGAGCATCTACCTGAGTGCTCTCTCACGCGCTCCCGGGGGCGGGGCCGAGGCGCGTGACGTCACCTGACAGCCGCGTCACTATACCCTGCCCCAGCAAACACTGGATTACAAGTACAGTAAAAGAGGTGCACTTGAAGTTTTGATGTTAAATACGCAAACGATGAAGATGTTTGTGCTTTGATGATGAAAAACCAACTTTGGGTAGTTTTGTAAATTTGGTTCATTTACTCCAACAACTCCAACTGTTTTACAAGTGTATGCTAAAATGCAATGCTTTGATATGTGTGTGTGTGTGTGTGTGTGTGTGTGTGAGTGTGTGTGTGTGTGTGTGTGTGTGCACGAGTGTGTGTGTGTGTGTGTGACTCACCTGTGTGAACAGGTGAGCACTGAATCATTTCAGTAAGTGTCTTATAATCTAATATAGTTTTGCATTGCATGAGTTCATCCTGTTAGAGTCGAGTGTGTGTGTTTATCCTGTTCACTCACGTCCTGTTAGTATGCTGTTGATAATATGAGTATATGCGCTCTAAAGTGTCAGATTTGGACACACAGTGTTAGTGAAGCACATGAAGGCACACGAGCCGTGTGTTAGCAGAGAGTCTCTCTCAGCACATGGTCTCAGCCTGCCTTACATCATCAGATCATCTCACAGCTGCTCCTGCGTCTGTCTTACACAATATCCCATCATAATACAGCCACAAACATTACAGGCTGCTCAATAATCTGCAATAACATTACATAAGATTTTAATAATAATCTTTACATAACATAAACACTTCTTTTTGAGGGACACATTATATCTTTTATTCCAATTATTGCAATTAAGTCATATTAATAAATAGTAAATAAATAAAATAATATGAAATTAGTTAATTTATCTTCTTTCAATAGGCCTACTTAACTTCAAATATTTTGCAAAACAATTATTTTATAAACATATTATATATAATAATATAATTAAAATAAATGTAATATAATTTATGCATTATTTTCTGTGATGCTGCACAGTGTTTTTCAAAGTCCAAAAAGTTTTTAGACTTTAAAAACCATAAAATCAATCTATTCTGATCTATAAAATCAAAATAATTCAAACAAGATCTATATCATTTAAATAAAAAATTATTATTTTATCAACAAATCATATTATATAGTATAATAATTTAATTAATATAATTATTAAAAATAATATTGTTATTATTAATTAAATTATTAATGCAATTTCACTCAGCTTATTTGTATTTTCTGTAAAGTGCATTGTTTTGTAAAGTCTAAAAGTTGATTATGAAGTCAGATATACAGAAGAACTCTATTAAGTCAAATTAATAAATATTTTTATTAATATGAGGCTATGATCTGCATCTGTCTTAACCTACAGTAGATGTTAGTTTAAGAATATTAAGAATATTTGCTTTCCAAAATATCTGAAATAATTATTTTATAAACAAATAATATCATATAATAATATGCATTTATTATTATTATTATTAAACATATGATATTATTATTTAATACTTTATTCGCATGATTTCACTCAGTTTATTTGCATTATTTTCTGTCATGCACATTGTTTTTCAAAGTCAAAAGATATACAGTCTTAAAAACATTAAATAAAAAAAACATTTACAATAAACCCATTAAATCAACAACAACAACAAAAGTTTACAAATAAATATTTATCCTAAAGATGATCATTTGCAGATGTTAGTTTAACCACAATTTTGGTATTTATCATCTTTCAGAACTTTGTGTCCCAAAATATCTGAAGTAATATTTTATAAACAAATAAATGATACTATAATGTATGTAATATAATTATTACAAATAATAATATTATTATTTATTATATTATTTTTTAATTAATCTAATTATTAATATAATTTCACTCAGTGTAGTCAAAAAATTTATTATAAAGTCAGATAAATATTTTCCATAAAGATGATAAATATATAAATATTTTTCCCAAAGCCTTTATCAACAGTAGATGTTAGTTTAAGAACAATTTCCGCTCCTGTGAGCAGGTTTAATCCGGCTAAAATTACCTTCCCAGAAAATTGAGAGCACTTCCTGATCTCGTTTCTCATTCTGAGCTGTGATTGGCTACGAAGCAGGATGTGCGCAGGGTTTAAGAAGCCCTCAAATTAAGAGGACAGCAAACTTAACAGCGGTAGAAGCCTGTGAAAGACCTTTAGCAAACGTCTGCAAATGTTTATACAGAACAGTGCTAACTTCAGTCAGCAGAATCATGATGAAAGTTGAATCTAACCCAGATCAGGTTTATCTGATACCTCTGCTATTCAGTTATATGGACATGTTTTTCATTCATAAACTGCATTAAGCTCCATAAATAAATATGAATATCTCTCAGCGAGATGTCCAGTGTATTCATTACCAAAACAATCCTAATAAAATAAAAGCTGAATCGTGAATCAGTCGCTTCTGAAGCCTCTCAATGTGTCTCTGAATTAAAATACTGTTAATTAGTGTCATTAATCTGTTCACACGTTCAGCTGTATTTAATTAGAATATTTAATGCTGATCTGTTTGTACTGTGTTCAGGACAGAAGTGTGCAGCCACATTCACAAAGGTTACAGTGAACTTAACACTATAATCCAGTTATGTTCATCTGCTGTACTCGGTAATAAGTGAGTGAAACTACTGCCACCAGGTGTAAACTTAGTCAATTACACTCAGTTCAAACCACCCAAAACCGAAAATATCTATTCATTTGACCTAACTTAGTCTTTTAAGATCAAATAACCACAATAAACCATCAGTTATTTATACAAACACTCACAAGTAGATATAAAAGAGCCGCCATCAGCATCTTCAGACCAAATACAAGCAAAATCAGTCTGATGATCCAACGGCACGAAGACCTCCAGGACAACAGGGGGCGCTGGTGTGGTGTGAGACGTCTGCAAACATCAGATAGCAAGTCAGCGGTATGATTTACACTCGTAAGTTATGATCAATTACAGCTCAGGGTTAGACCCCTCCCCTCGTTCTGGCTCCTCCCCCTCAAATGAGCTTCCCCTCGTTTCGACTGGAGAATAACAACGGCGACGACACACCGTCGCACTGGCGAATATGAAGTTTGGTCACATGCACTTACATAATGTATATTACACATATCGCAAAGTACTGCTTGCATTTTACCTTTGAAACACGTTGTCATCTTGGTTTAGACTGTTCACAGGAGAATCTGCTGGAACTACGTCTAAAAGAGATGCACGCAGGAAACAGTCAGTCTTTCTTAAAGTTTTAGCTACCCTCAAACTTAAGGATGTGTATTTTTGCCTCCTGTCTGCTTGCGTATCAGGCCGCTTCTTTGAGTCCGCACTGGTTTTGCAGTTCTCCAGAAACGACGTCTCTAGATGCTTCAACTGCAGAGAAGAAACCAACATAAAGACTCATGAAAACGAACTACGTCTAAAAGAGATGCACGCAGGAAACAGTCAGTCTTTCTGGTTAATTAAAGTTTTAGCTACCCTCAAACTTAAGGATGTGTATTTTTGCCTCCTGTCTGCTTGCGTATCAGGCCGCTTCTTTGAGTCCGCACTGGTTTTGCAGTTCTCCAGAAACGACGTCTCTAGATGCTTCAACTGCAGAGAAGAAACCAACATAAAGACTCATGAAAATGTTCAGATGCTAAACCCGAAGAACTGAACGCTGGAAACGGAACCAGAAACACGTGCCTCAGACTGAGTTGGAAGTAAGGTGATGCTGACCCTGCGACGTGTCGGCTACGACATAAACACAGGCTGTTATCGATGGTTGAACACATGTTAGAATAAAACAAAAATAATGATAATGAGACTTCATATCTATCAAGCTCCAAAAAAAGCTTTGAACTGTTATTGTATGGAAAAGAGTGGCATAAAGTTGCAAAAAGGGGTTTGAAATTACATGAAAGTGAGTAAATAATGACACAATTTACTATTCATATTTTGGCCAACTAACCCTTTAAATATGAGTTACTAAGTTATTGAGGTACTGACAGGAGTCAAATATTTAATTTATGGTCAGTTACCTGTTGTGATGAATGTCTGAACAGGTCTCGTGTCATCTATTTGAGGAATATATAAGAGTACAGATTTATTTAAATACTGGGATGTGATTCTTAGATGTCCTCCAGGCCACTAGGGGCAGCACTGACCTGTGGAGTCACTGTGTAATCGGCCCTTCCTCCTGTGCAGCAGCTTCCTGACCTCCAGCATCTCCTCGCTCACTGTTGCATGGTGTCTCTTCAGATGCTCCATGTGCACTGACATCAGCTCTACTGCATAAATGACTCGCGCTTCCTGAAAATATGAACAATGCATGGTTATAAAAAGGCTCAGTGCAATGTCTGTGGTGTGACATCCCTGGTTTGAGGTGTTTTATTTTGTAATGTACCTGGTGTGCACCACCAAGCATCTCTGCTGTTTTGAGGACATTGTCCATGTTGTTTTCCAGCAACTGAAGGTTATTTTCCATCTGATGCACCATCTTTCTGCTGTCCACCTCTGGCAGATGCTAATACAACACCTGTAGGACAACACAAACCTTTCACAACACTCTTATATCCCTTTGAAACGCCCCGCAACCATCCCACAACACTCCCACAACCATCCCACAATGCTCCCACAACCATCCCACAACGCTCCCACAACCATCCCACAACGCTCCCACAACCATCCCACAACACTCCTCGAACCATCCCACAATGCTATCACAACCATTCCACAACGCTCCCACAACCATCCCACAACGCTCCCACAACCATTCCACAACGCTCCCACAACCATCCCACAACACTCCCACAACACTCCCCGAACCATCCCACAACGCTCCCACAACCATTCCACAACACTCCCACAACCATCCCACAACACTCCCCGAACCATCCCACAACGCTCCCACAACCATTCCACAACGCTCCCACAACCATCCCACAACTGTACAACTGTATTGTACAGACAGTACAATACAGTAATAATAATTACTATAAATAAATAAACTAAATAAAAAGTACAATTTAATTATGTAATATAATTTTATATAATATTTTTCACATTTAAATACTTTAAATAAAGATGTGTATTATTATTATTACTATTAGTATTATTAGTATTATTATTAGTAGTAGTAATAATATAATTAAGTCATTTTCCTAACCTTTTTTTGAATAACATATTGAATCTGGAAATAAATAAATAAATACAATTATTTAATGCATTTTTTTGTTTTTAATAAAAATATTAATGATATTATTATTATCAGTTTATATTTTATCTTTATTATTTAATTAATAAAAAAAGCAGCCTTTAAGTAATAGTAATCTTTCAACAACCATGTTAAATCTTTTTTCTTTTTGTTTTTTTTGCAGATAAAACAACTAATTTACTTTTTATATAAAATTAAATGCTATGCATATTTTTATTATTATCTTCCTGGTTGTGAAACCCTAAAAATACTGTAAATTGCATGGTGTATTTTCAAAGCTGGCCACAAGAGGACGCTACAGAACTCACTGTGTGCAGTGACTAGTGTTTGAGATTTGAACTGAATTACACAACTGTGCAAACAATTCAAAAACTATCAAACTAATAAATATTAATAAAAACACTTTTAACAACCTCAGACATCTTATAAACAGTCTTCTCAGGGCCATTCATTGACCTCTGAGATTCGTTATGTTTATGAATGTGTAAAACACTGTTTGGTCTCGTAACAGCTCATTCAGCGCTCCTCATGTGCGTCCGAGGCCCCAGGATTTGAGAGCTGATCCGTCTAATCTGTGTTAGGCAGATTTCAGCATCTCATGTGACCAAATCCTGTTTGAAACCCTTAAACGCTTTTGTTTTGCGCTCGGACTCAGAGTGAGGAATCGGACCTCATGCTGGGACGCGGAACTCACACAGAACACACACAATGGGGAGAGGGCGAGTTATGCAACCCTGGGGCCGCATTGTTCATAGAACATCTGTGGAGCTCATTCTCACTCACACTCACACACATCCACCCTTAAAACAAATACAGATCATACAACACACACACATACTAACACAAACAATCACGTGTAGTGACAATCATAATCAGGTTCAAATGGCTGTGTGATCCTGTGATCCACGTGATTGTTCTGTTCCTCATGCGTTTGCTTCATACATTATGACCTTACAGAGAGGAAACAAAACAAACAGATCGCAGGGTCACGACCTTCAGTTGAGGAGGAAATATAAGTAACGGACAGGAAACAACCTGACAGACGAACACAACTCAGAGGAAGAGCACGTACCCTTGAAAACCTTTCACTGACCCTCACGCCCTGTGATACAACACGACTGACTCTCAAAACACTGACTCCAGAAACTCAAAAACACCCAGATTACTCCCTAAACACTTAATGACACACAAAAACACCCAGTGACCCCCAAAATGCCCAGAAACCTATAAACACCCAGATTACTCCCTAAATATATGACCCTCAAAAACACCCCAATGATCCCCTAAAACACCCAGTGACCCTCAAAAAACATCCAGAAACTCCAAAACACCCAGATTACTCCCTAAATACTTAATGACCCTCAAACACACCCAGTGACCCCCAAAACGCCCAGAAACCCATAAACACACCGATTACTCACTAAGTACTTAACGACCCTCAAAAACACACAAACTGTCCCCTAAAACACCCAGTGACCCTCAGAAAGCATCCAAAAACTCTAAAACACCCAGATTACTCCCTAAACACTTAATGACACACAAAAACACCCAGTGACCCCCAAAATGCCCAGAAACCCAAAAACACCCAGATTACTCCCTAAATACTTAATGACACACAAAAACACCCAGTGACCCCCAAAATGCCCAGAAACCCATAAACACCCAGATTACTCCCTAAGTACTTAACGACCCTCAAAAACACCCCAACTGTCCCCTAAAACACCCAGTGACCCTCAAAAAGCATCCAAAAACTCAAAAACACCCAGATTACTCCCTAAATACTTAATGACACACAAAAACACCCAGTGACCCCCAAAATGCCCAGAAACCCATAAACACCCAGATTACTCCCTAAATACTTAATGACCCTCAAACACACCCAGTGACCCCCAAAACGCCCAGAAACCCATAAACACACCGATTACTCACTAAGTACTTAACGACCCTCAAAAACACACAAACTGTCCCCTAAAGCACCCAGTGACCCTCAGAAAGCATCCAGAAACTCAAAAACACCCAGATTACTCCCTAAATACTTAATGACCCTCAAAAACACCCCAACTGTCCCCTAAAACACCCAGTGACCCTCAGAAAGCATCCAAAAACACCCAGATTACTCCCTAAATACTTAATGACCCTCAAAAACACCCCAACTGTCCCCTAAAACACCCAGTGACCCTCAGAAAGCATCCAAAAACACCCAGATTACTCCCTAAATACTTAAGGACACACAAAAACACCCAGTGACCCCCTAAAATGCCCAGAAACCCATAAACAGCCAGATTACTCCCTAAATACTTAATGACCCTCAAAACACCCCAACTGTCCCCTAAAGCACCCAGTGACCCTCAGAAAGCATCCAGAAACTCAAAAACACCCAGATTACTCCCTAAATACTTAATGACACACAAAAACACCCAGTGACCCCCAAAATGCCCAGAAACCCATAAACACCCAGATTACTCCCTAAATACTTAATGACCCTCAAAAACACTCCAATGATCCCCTAAAACACCCAGTGACCCTCAAAAACACTCAATATACAGCTGAGCACCAAAAACACCCTGCTGTCCTAAAATATGCTACTGATCCTCCATAACACCCTAGTGACGCCCTAAAATCCTCTAAAACAACCACTGATGTCAACAACACCCCAACAATCCCCAAGAACACTCACTAACTTTTAAAAACACCCCTCCGTCCCTTTAACACACTCAGAACACCCCAACAATTTCCTAAAACACACACTGACTTTCTAAATCATCCCACCAATCCTCTTACACACTCAAAACACCCCACTGACACCCTAAATTACCACAAATCTTCTAAAACAGTGGTCGCCAACCCTTGGATCGCGATCGACTGGTAGATCTGTTATTTTCGTGAGCTACCAGGACAGTGATAAAGAATAATACATCATGTCTGAGTCTGTACACCCCAAGTTAACAGAGGCCAGAGATGCTATCAGTATATATTGTAATAAATATTTGATAAACTATTGTATCTGACTGTATCAGTGTATACAGAGTGATAGTCAGTGTACAAAGAGCAGATGAATATAAAACAGCAGAACAACATGAAGCTAGAGGGTGAACTTGATCATTCAGCTGAACTGTGCTCGTGTGTTTGAAACACTTCGGCTCTTTATCTGTTCTCACTCCACACATCTATTAAATGTTTTCTAGTGTATTTCTTCAACTTCTCAGGTAATATCAATGGTGTGACCTATTTCAGATGCGCCGAAATTACAACAACAGTGGTTACATACACATATATTTAATTGTTTGATACAAATTATTGCTAGGAACACTTTAGTAGTGGCTGGATATTAGTAGGAACATGTCATAGCATCTCTACTCAACTCTACACCCTTGAGTCAGACCGTTTAATGACCCAAAAACAACTGCTCATGCAATGTGTGTGTAGCATCTTTGTTACCAGTCAGCAACCAGTATCGTAATCTGCTTGTTAAAAAAATAGCTTGCTTAAAACAAAAAAAATCATAATCTAATCGGCCATGATAAATCATGATCAGAGCATCACTAATTAAAATACTAAATACAAGGCCACAAATTGGAAGTACAGTCTTTTTTATCAATTATTCAATAGGTAGATATTGTCTTTCATAAAGGCTGAGATCAGGGATCTTGGGATTAAAAAGGTTGGTGACCACTGCTCTAAAACAACTACTGATGTCCAAAACACAACCTCCCAAAACACCCGACTCTCAAAAACACCCACTGCACCTCTTACACACTTTGACACACCCGGGTGACACCCCAAAATACCCACAAACCCTCTAAAACTAGCACTGACATAAAAAATACCTCAACAACCTTCTAAAACACACACTCAGAATACCCTCTGAAACACCCAGAAGACACCCTAAAACACCCACACACCCTCTAAAGCAACCACTTACCTAATCCAGTGACCCCTAAAATCCCTGTGTGAACATAGAAGATGTTGGTCTGGTTTGCACAGCACAAACATGTTTATGAAACAATCCAGAAGATGCATTTGTGAGGTTTTACCCTGTAGTTTTATTGTCGTTCAGTTCAGATGGAGGAACGTGTTCACATCATTCACATTACTGTGACAGAAAGCTCGTCTCCGTTCAAAACACACAGATTCACAGCATGTCATGTCTACAGGAACCAGTTAGCAGCACAACCATGACACACACACACGGAAAACAACATCAGACTGAGGTTACGCAATGATACGCTCATTTGGTGACGTTGTGTCGCGACCGCAGCCTCTGATTCATCGAACTAACTAATCAAGCGTTATTAAATTACATTAATATAAACTCTGGAGTCAGATATTTAATCACTGATCTGAACTAGTGTATTTCTTCAACTTCTCAGGTAATATCAATGGTGTGACCTATTTCAGATGCGCCGAAATTACAACAACAGTGGTTACATACACATATATTTAATTGTTTGATACAAATTATTGCTAGGAACACTTTAGTAGTGGCTGGATATTAGTAGGAACATGTCATAGCATCTCTACTCAACTCTACACCCTTGAGTCAGACCGTTTAATGACCCAAAAACAACTGCTCATGCAATGTGTGTGTAGCATCTTTGTTACCAGTCAGCAACCAGTATCGTAATCTGCTTGTTAAAAAAATAGCTTGCTTAAAACAAAAAAAATCATAATCTAATCGGCCATGATAAATCATGATCAGAGCATCACTAATTA